CAGAAGAGCTCGTCACATCCTGTGACGCTCTGTCCGGCATCCTGCCCGGCTCATTGACATCATCGGTTGCCATGGAGCTGAGCGTAACGCTCTGGAGATGGCGTCCCGCCAAGCGCCTGGCAACCAGTGACGTCAGTGATTCGGGTGGGATGGGCCTGCAGGTATCATCAGGTGATTGGACACCGGCCAGAGCTGTGAGGACCCTCATATAACCCTTCCCCCTCCAGGAAATCCTCAGATTTGTAGCAAGCAATAGAGCAGGGGTGGCCAAACTCCGCCCCTCCAGCTGTGGGGTGGAACTACAAATCCCATGAGGCATTGCAAGATTCTCCCAGCCACAGACATGACTCCCAGAGAGAGATGCATCGTGGGATTTGTAGTTTCACCCCACAGCTGGAGGGCCGGAGTTTGGCTCCCCCTGCAATAGAGGAGATAGTGGGGGCGGCGCTGTGTCCCGACTGCACTCCATAAATTCCCTTCTTCCTCCCTCCATCTGCTCCTTCCCTGCTCCCTTCCTCCTCCTCTCCTGCTTCCAACTGCTCCTTCTTCACTCTCTTCTTCCTCCCTCCCCACTACCACTTTATCTCTCCCTGCTCCCATCCTCCCTGCTTCCATCTGCTCCTTCTTCGCTCCCTACCTACATCCATCTGCTCTCTCCCCGCTCCTTTCCTCCTACCTCCCTGCTTCCATCTGCTCCTTCTTCGCTCCCTACCTACATCCATCTGCTCTCTCCCTGCTCCTTTCCTCCTACCTCCCTGCTTCCATCTGCTCCTTCTTCGCTCCCTACCTACATCCATCTGCTCTCTCCCTGCTCCTTTCCTCCTACCTCCCTGCTTCCATCTGCTCCTTCTTCGATCCCTAGCTACATCCATCTGCTCCTTCCCTGCTGCCTTCCTCCTTCCAACTGCTCCTTCTTCACTCCCTTCTTCCTCCCTCCCCACTACCACTCGCTCTCTCCCTGCTCCCATCCTCCCTGCTTCCATCTGCTCCTTCCCCACTCCCTTCCTCCCTACATTCATCTGCTCTCTCCCTGCTCCCTTCCTCCCTGCTCCCACCCTCCCTGCTTCCATCTGCTCCCTCCCTCCTCCCACCCTCCCTGCTTCCATCTGCTCCCTCCCTGCTCCCTTCCTCCCTGCTCCCTTCCTCCCTGCTCCCATCCTCCCTGCTTCCATCTGCTCCTTCTTCGCTCCCTAACTACATCTATCTGCTCTCTCCCCCCTCCCTTCCTCCCTGCTTCCATCTGCTCCCTCCCTGCTCCCTTCCTCCCTGCTCCCTTCCTCCCTGCTCCCATCCTCCCTGCTTCCATCTGCTCCTTCTTCGCTCCCTAACTACATCTATCTGCTCCCTCCCTGCTCCCTTCCTCCCTGCTCCCTTCCTCCCTGCTCCCATCCTCCCTGCTTCCATCTGCTCCTTCTTCGCTCCCTAACTACATCTATCTGCTCCCTCCCTGCTCCCTTCCTCCCTGCTTCCGCTTGCTCTCTCCTCTCCCTGTTCCCATCCTCCCTGCTTCCATCTGCTCTCTCCCTGCTCCCATCCTCCCCACTCCCTTCCTCCCTACATTCATCTGCTTCCTTCCTCCCTGTTCCCATCCTCCCTGCCTCCATCTGCTCCTTCTTCACTCCCTACCTACATCTATCTGCTCTCTCCCCCCTTCCTTCCTCCTCGCTCCCTGTTGTCACAGACACAGCAGAAGACAAAGCAGTAAATGGTAACACAAGTTGATATAGTCTGATCCAGACTGATCACATCCCCTCCCCCTCCCCCCCTGGGGTGCAGAGTGAGGTAGAGATCAGAGTGCCCAGCTCAGGATTCTGGGTAAAACCTGCACAGTGGTCACATATGTACCTTGTCCCCAAGCCCCACTGATGATGAGGAGGGCGACACACAGCAGTACGGGGGGCAGTGGCCCCATGGCTTTGGTTGCGGACTCTCAGGGGGCCGGGGGAAGCGGGTGTCTTTCCTAGCGCCAATCTCTGAGGGTGTCACCTGTAGAGAAAACACAGAGGAGATGAGACACAGGAAGCGCAGCATGAGCGGGAACACCGGACGGACATAGAATCACCAATGACTGCAATTATCCGTTCAATAAACAAGATCAATAAACGTGATTATAAATATAACAACCCCAAATCGGTATCAGCGCTGCGGGGGCCAATCAGGTTGTGCCGACAAGGAGCATGCTGACAGGAGGAGTGATGACTCAAGAACCTGCTGCTGTCCAATCACAGGCTGGGGGTGTGCCCTGGACCAAGCTGTGCTGCTGCTGCAAGGGGGGGTCCAGGACCTCACAGGATCACAAGACCGGCTGAACCTATTTGGTATTTACCCGACATTCATCCCGAAGTATATAATGACACGCCCCCCATAGTAGAGGAGGGGCACGTGGGGTCATTCGATGTCAGGCTACAAAGTAACTTGCAGGCCCCCTTTCCGGTGACAGGTGCTCTTTGTCCCTTTATGATGACAGCAGCAGTTGGCTGTCACTGACCCGTCCTTCCCCTCAGGAGATGTGTTAGCTGCCAAGGAATTTGTATTTCTGTCCATCCAGTCCTGAGATTTACACACCTCAGAGGCATGATGGGAGGAACCGATTGTTCTGTAACACTCAGGCTGACCCACATATGTCCCCAGCCTGTAGGCTGCAAGGAAAAAAATCTAATAAATGTCACTCTGCTCTCTCCCGTCAGCATGTTCCTCGTGCTGCTTCTCTCTCTCTTCCAGTCTGAGCTCTGCTGTACAAGGGCTTTAAGAGGCTCGCGCCAGGCCAGATGTAGGTACTTTTGAACAATACATGTACTATTGTATTGATGAATACAGAACGGCACTCATTGGTGTCTTCCCGGGTTCAGCTGTGATGGCGCTTCAATATTGGAATGTGATAATCAATCGATCTTCCAGGAGATCGGCCGGTGATAGGACTGTGTGTATGCGCTGCATGTGACCGAGCAAATTGTACACAAGATGTCACCGCGACTCCCCCGCCCACCGCGCCCTGCGACCGATCACATCCATAACAACTGTCTGCCGACAATGACGGTGTTCTATCAAAGATTGTGACTGGGTTGGAATGTGTGATCGCGCTCACAGAGTCGGATAGAAGTGACATTTCAGGACCGATCAGCTGTTCCCCGGGCGGATCGGTTCTCCTGCACATACGCTCTGCGATGCCGATCTGCCCGGGAACAGCTGGAATGCTTCACCTTTTGCCGGTCGCATATTTCGCCTCAGAAAAAGTGGGCGGGATCACGTGAAAATGTGTGGCCATGTGACCGGTCACACATTCTAACGCAGTCACAAACTTTGATAGAACAACGGCCCAGTGCCAAGATCACAAATCACCTGTATGAGTGTATTATAGAGCCGGGAGGTTACACAGTTACTATATGCAGCTCGTATGTTACATATTATATACTCACTGGGGGGAATTTATCAAAACTGGAGCAGACAGAATCTGGAGCGGCTGTGCACGGCAACCAATCGGCTTCTCTCTTACATTTTCAAATCTTAACTGAACAAACTGAAGAGAGAAGCTGATTGGCTGCCATGCACAGCTGCTCCAGATTCTGTCTGCTCCAGTTTTGATAAATTCCACCAATTATGTGATATAGTCGGGATGTTCTGTATTATACAGTTACTATATACAGCCGGTATGTTACATATTATATAGTCGTAGAGGGGAATTTATCTAAATCTGGAGCAGCTGCCCATGGCAACCATTCACCGTCTCTCTTCAGTTTAGATTTGAAAATGAAAGACAGAAGCTGATTGGTTGCCATGGGCAACTGCTCCAGTTTTGATACATTCTCCCCCATTGTTATGTCTTATATAGTTACAATGTTTCATGTTATATATTATACCGGTATAGTGAGTATGTTTTATAGCCGGTCTGTTATCTATTATCTCGTCAATATGTTTGATGTCATATATTATATACTGCAGTCGCCATTTTTTATGTTATATAGTCGCAATGTTTTATGTTATATATTATACAGGTATAGTGAGTATGTTTTATATGATATAGCCGGTATGTCTTATGTTATATACTGTATTATATATTCAGTATGCTTTATAGCCGGTATGTCTTATGTTATATACTGTATTATATATTCAGTATGTTTTATAGCCGGTATGATACATATTATATAGTCACAATGTTTTATGTTATATATACAGGTATAGTATGTTTTATAGCCGCTATGTTATATATTATATACTGTAGTCATAATTTTTTATGTTGTATAGCTGGTATATGTTTATATATATATACAGGTGTAGTCAGTATGTTTTGTGGCCAGTGTGTTATGTATTATATAGTCTGGTGATATGTTATATATTATAGAGGTATAGGGAGTATATTGTAGAGCCGGTATGATACATATTATATAGTTACAATGTTTTATGTTATATATTATACAGGTGTAGGGAGTATGTTTTGCAGCCAGAGTGTTATGTATTATATATTCAGTGTGTTGTATAGTCACAATGTTTCATGTTATATATTATATAGCCCCTCTGCCTTGTGTTCTATATGATACAGTCAGTACATTATATCGGATATAGTATTGTCCGTCCAGCTCCTACCTGTCCCGTGTGCAGCCCTCGCCTCCTCTCCTCCTCTGCTGGTAACTAACAACATTCACCTCTCGCCCCGGGCGAGTTGTCGGGACCTCCAGCAGTAAACACCGGGCATGTTGGGACTTACAACACACACATGTGGCGTCACCGCTCTTTATACCGAGTCTGGTGCTGACGTCACAGGAGGTCTTATCATCGTATTTAGTTACATAACAATGTGTTTGTTTAGTATTAATGGCACATGCCTAGACCGGGGAGGGGCTCATTGTTCTGCGTCACATGATCTCTGTTAGGTGAGAGGATTCTTTAAATGAATGTTGGACCATTTGTGAGGTCAGGTACTGATGTTGGGGGAGGGGCTCGCAGTCTCCGCCTCTAATTCATCCCAAAGGTGTTGTATGGGGTTGAGGTCAGGACTCTGTGCGGCCAGTCACGTTCCTCCCCCCCAAACTCCCCCATCCGTGTCTTTATGGACCTTGCTTTGTGCACTGGTGCGCAGTCATGTTGGAACAGGAAGGGGCCGTCCCCAAACTCCTCACACAAAGTTGGGAGCATGAAATTGTCCAAAATGTCTTGGTGTGCTGAGGCCTTAAGAGTTCCCTTCACTGGAACTAAGGTGCCAAGCCCCGCCCCCGTGCCAACTTCTGCGCGCTTCAGCATGCGCTGACCCCGCTCTGTCATGTGACGTGGCCATCACTTCCTGGCTGAGTTGCTGTTGTTCCCGGTCGCTTCCACTTTGTTATAATCCCAGTAACAGGCGACCACGGTGGAATATTTAGTGGCCGGGTAATGTCACAGAACACCTGAATACAATGATTTGGAGGGGGAGGGGCCCAATACATTTGGCTATATAATGTATGTGGAAGCTGAGCTACCCGCCCAATCATTTTCACAGGCAATAATAGCATTTATAAAGATTTACTATCATTCAGCAGTTTAATTTTTTTACAGATAATTATTTATAGAAGAGTCCGCAGACCGGAAGTACAGTATTCATTGCACTTTGTCTGGGAGTATTGGAAACATGGCAGTTATGGAACATTCTCAACAACAGGATAAACTATTAAAAAATGTCAGGTTTTCTCCCTTTCTGTATCTCATTTTATTATTTTTTGTAATTTTTGACTTTTGTACATATTTCTATGTTAATAAATATGCAAATGTAATGAGTGGCCTGCGTATTAAGAATTCATACTCCTGGGGAGATTGTTACATTATTATTGCCTCTATGTTTGTTTTTAAGCTCGCTCCTAATCGGTATGAAATTGCATCGTGTGGTAATTGTATCTGCCAGACTGTGGGTGTGTGTGCGGTTACCGAGGACAGTGCTTCTTAAAGTGTGGGTCGCGACCCCATATGGGGTCCAGCAAGTGAACGGGGGGGGTCGCAATCCGAGTCCCCGGGCCAAGATCGCCATCAGGGGAGTATGGCCGTTACTTGTGTGAGGGGCCCAGGCAGCCGAGGAGGTCTGGGCTCCAAGCTAGATTGTTTTATTTCAGGTTAATGTATAATTTGCAGTGTAGTGTAGTTTTTTACGGTCATGGCCCCCCCTGTGCACTTGGTACCTTCCTGAGAAGAGGAGAGAGACACTGACTGGTGCTGGGAGGGGAGGGAAGAGGAGAGAGACACTGATTGACCCACTGACTGATGCGGGGGGGGAGACACCGACTTACGCTAGGGGAGGGGGGAGACACCGACCGACGTTGGGGTCCCTTAAAAATTTCCTCGGCCAAAAAGGGATCACGAATGGAGAAAGTTTAAGAAGGCCTGACCGAGCAGACCAGCCAGCTGACAAACTGCAGGCAGTGGCAAGCCAGCCTAAGCCATGTGTCTGTGGGGAAAGTGGGCACAGAAGGATTCTAGATCACAGGATAGCTCGGGGTATCTCAGAAGTGTGTGGGGGCAAAACCTTAGCTGCCCCACAACCCTTAGGGCCTGTTCACACGACGTCCGTTTTTGTGTGCTGACCGGATCCGTACGCTGCTGCACTCAAAATGCATCCCAATGTATCCCTATGTGTTTTATGGGCTACAGTTCTCACGTGCGCAGTCCGTTCAGGTTACGACAGAAAAATACTGCATGTCACATTTTGTACGGTCAGGAAACGCAAACGCGTCCAAAACGCACTGCACTGCAGCTAACATACTAACAGCCCCACTCCAGCCAAGTGGGAACGCATCAAAAACGCAACCAAAACGCACTGCATCAGTCTGCAGGTCCGCACCTGATATGTGAACAGGCCCTAAAAATGTGCCTAATTGGATGCAAGATGTATGTTTGCCTGTCTCCAGTCTGATAGAGGTGAGTCTTCCCCAAGTGGCGGGCAGCGGTACTGCAGGCTGTGTTACCCACGCAAAGGAAGCCTTCTTCTCATTCCTCTTCCACCAAACAAGGATCTCACTCTGGTCACTGAGGCGCTGCGATTCCATGACATCTGGCGGGGGCAGCAGTGTGACCGTGTGTGGGGGGGTGTTTCTGGTTGTTACTTGTATTCAGATTGGAGAACTTTGGGTTATATCAATCTGGCAGCGCGCTATTCAATAATGGTGATCAGGGCCGCTAAGGCCTGGCCTCGGGGGGGGGATGTCGTTGTGGAATCTCCCAACGACGGGGGACATGAAGTTCCGGGCGCCAAGTTGTCCTCTACATTGAGCTCGCCAAACGTTGTGCGAGGAAGCCGCCCGTCTGTTTACAAAGTGATTGCGGAGATGTCGCCGAGATCACTTGTAATAAGACGGCATTGGGGGACCTGGCCTTGGGGCAGCGGGGAGAGTACATCCGGCGATAGCTCATGTAGCAATGGGCCTCCCTCGTACCCCGTGACACACAAGGAGAGTGGATTCGAGCATTTCCTGTGGTTCTGGTTACTGCGCTCCGATTGGTGGAATCATTCTCTCCATGGATCTGTATATTGGATTGTGCCGCATGAATGGGCGGCACTGTTATCGTGTATCAGATACGTTCCCCTTCTGAATGTGCCGAACATGGTCAGTTTGTGGCCCTATCTTCTCTCTATGGAGATACAAAGCATGGCCGCCATCTCCCATATTCAGTTGGGCAGCACACCCCTCCCCCC